ATATTATTAATATAAATTAGTAATAATATTTAAAAAGAATTAAAAAATAAAACAAAACAAAACAAAATGCTATGTACATAGCCGCCCATTAAAAGGGCGGTTGACTTTTTCATTACACTCGGCCGCCCATTGGAAGGGCGAAAGTGTTCAACCAAAAACGAGATTTTTTTGGAAACATGGCAATTTGGTATATTAATTGGAAACTATGGCATTTTGGAAATTAACCCCTAAAACTATGGCAAGATAGAAAAAAATTCCAATTTTTGAGTTTCTTACTTTTGTTTGATTTAATTGATGATCATCCTAGTTGAATTTGGTTTAGCTTTGAGTTTAACGGTTAGGGATTTTAGTTGTTGTTGGTTGCCCTAAAGTCTGACATAACATATGGTTTGAGTTTATGGTTTAGGGTTGGACTTTTTTTTGTGTCGTTTGATCGTCACAAAATGTTTTTTTTTTGAAGTTATGATCACTTGCTTTATTCAATGGTAACTTAATTATTTTTGGGGCGTTTCAATTTGGTTGGTTTCTTTTGTTGATGTTACTTTCATGCATGGATTATATTGAAGTAGCATCATGTTAGGTTGCTGTGTATATAACTTGGATGACTTGAATCTATTATAGAGACATGACGTGATTATCTACCTATAGAAGGCTCCTAAATGTCTATGATCAGTGAACTGAATTTGTTAATGGAAGTGTTAACCTTTTGTGAAGAACAAAACAAATTTTTGCATGAGGCTTTGATGAGACAGCCTAGACCTCGCCTTCTTACTCATCCCATCTTCAAACCAATTATAGGGGTATTTTTCTCTGGATCGAAGAAGAGACAGTTTTTCCACCAAGAGTAAACAAATTTTAAACCCAAAAATGCTTGGTGGTATAACGGATATTGATACGACTACTGTGTCAATATTTAGGAAAACAAGACAAGTTAAAATATAGAAAAATATAAAAAGTTAAAGACATGAAAATATAAAAGCTAAAATATAGAAGATTACTGATACAAATATCATACTAAATATAAAAGCTAAAATATAGAAGGTATTATTGATACAAATATCATACTAAATTATAAATCTATAATTTCTTCCATCAATTTTCCACTCCAAAAATTTTAAGGTTAAATTTGGAATTTTAACTTCTACAAATTTATAATATAGGATAAATAATAATAATATTAAATAATTAATTAAAATTATAATGATATCAACCACCTCCACCACTAATATTAAATAACTCCTAAAAAAAATTATATTAATAAATCTAAATAATATAATAATAATAATAATAATAATAATTAATTATAATAAATAATTATTAGTAATTAATTAATTAAATTTTACAAATTAAATATGAAACATATTCAAGAGATTATAGTATTAAAACTAACATTGTGCTATATAAGAGTTTCAACATTATTATTCTTATTGTTTTTATTTGTTTTGTTTTTATTTTTTAGTATATTTTACTGTACTTTTATTTATTTTTATAAGTCGTAAGGTTGTAATTTCTTTATGTCGCGCTGACTCAATTTGATAATTATAAGTTGGTCAATTTGTTGATTTGATCTCAATTATATCTTAGTTTTCATTAATCCATAATATTCAAGTCTTTATGATTAATATTAAATAACTCCCGCAAAAATTTATATTAATAAATAATCTATTTGTTAATTAAAAGTTGGACAATTGTTTATTTGATCTCAATTATATCTTTGTTTTCATTAATCCATAATATTTAAATTTTTATAACTAATATTAAATAACTTTCACAAAAATTTATCTTAATAAATCTAAATAATAATATTAATTAATTATAATAAATAATAATGATTAATTAATTAATTAAACTTTAAAAAATTAAATATGAAACACGTTTCTAATTTAATTCTAAAAAACTAAATAGGATATATATTTCTAATTAATTAATTAAATTAAAATATTATAACTTTCCCACTCCCTTAATTTGCATTACAATTATTTTTTTATTCATAAATTATAATTTATCATTCTTAATTACTTACGAAAATGAAAAAAAATAAACAAATAAAAACAATCCATTTCACTTTTTTCTCTCTATTACTTGCATTTATTTGAGATAGCCCCATATTACTTTTAAGTATCTTTTTATAAATTATGACTCATTTTATATTGAGAGAATATTTTCTTTAAATTTTAATATTTTTTTATCATGTTAAAAATATATTATTATATTTTATAAAATATAAACTATTAAATTATTGTTAACTATTTAAACAAAAAATAATCTCAATAAAAATATTAATACAAATATATTATATACTTTTATAAATTAATATTTACACGTCAGTGACGACAATATAAAGTAAATAAAATTATAAAGTTAAAATTTAAAGATAAATAATATTCGGATGCGCGTCTAAAGAAGTGTGATATAATTATTAAAGATATATTGTGTAAATGAGATTGTTAGAATGTTTTATATTTAAATATTATTTAAATATAACATTCCAATAATTATTTAATAAACATATATATTTATATTAATTGCATGTTATTTATCACATTAACTACTTAATTATTTATTTATTTATATATTTATTTATGAATAAGTTAGATATGAAAATCATGTAGGGCTGGAAATGAGTCGAGTCGAGTCGAACTCACCTCAGCTCGGCTCGACTCGTTAAGAATTGTTCGAATTCGAGTTCGAGTTCGAGTTCGACACGAACTTTTTTTTAAGCTCAAACTCGACTCGTTATAAGTTCACGAACAGTTCGGTTCGACTCGTTAGGTTCATCTCATTAGGTTCAGCTCACATGGTTCACGAACTTAAAAACTATTTTTTTTAAATATATATATTTTTTAGTATATTTGACATTAAAATAAAATAAAAGTTATCATATTGAAATTTAAATTTATCTTCGAAATCTACTAATTCAAAACCTACACAACTTTCAAGAGATACATTTGAGAGTTTAATTCAAAAACTACTAAATTGAAGATTAAATTTGTCTAAGATTTGAAGTAAATATTTAAACCTAATCTTAAAGACAGTATAATTCTTTTCATATGTAATCGAGTTGACTCATGAACCTAACGAGTCGAACTATGTATAGTTCAAGTTCAGCTCATTTAGTTAACGAACTTAATTTTTCGCTCATACTCAACTCATTTGGTTCATGAACCTAGTTCAACGATTTAATTGTCGAGTCGAATTCCGAACTATCTTCGAGTTGGTTTGGTTCATTGCCAGCCCTAAATGGTAACCCTAATTGGCATTTTATCCTATATATAGGCTAGCCCGCTAAACCTTTTCACTTTTGTGTTCAAATTACGGCTACAGTAAATTAATTCAAACATGAGAACATGGGAAGAAGAAACCCTAGTTTTTGCAGATGATGACGAGGATCTTCGTAAATCCTTAGAGAAAGCAAGGCGACTAGCTCTTAAGAAACAGGAGGAGAAAGGAGCATCTGGCCCTCAAGCTATTGCTTTACTCGCCGCCTCAAACCCTAGTAATGAGACTTTTGATGATCCAAATTCTACCGCTGGAGAGTCAAGAGAAAATAAGGTGGTGTTTACGGAGATGGAAGAATTTGTATGGGGTCTTCACATTGATGAAGAAGCACATAAGCCAGAAGGTGGAGATGTTTTCGTGCATGACGATGAAGAGGCAAATGTTCCTGTTGGGGAAAAGAAAGTGATGGTTTCTGATGAAAGTATGCATGAAGTTGCTGTAGGGAAAGGGTTGTCAGGTGCATTGAAACTTCTTCAAGATCGAGGAACACTTAAGGAAAGCATTGAATGGGGTGGCAGAAACACGGATAAGAAGAAAAGCAAATTGGTTGGGATTGTAGAGGATGAAGAAAAGGAAGTACATAATAAAAAAGAGATTCACATTGAGAGGACAGACGAGTTTGGAAGAATTTTGACTCCTAAGGAAGCCTTTCGAAAATTTTCTCATAAGTTCCATGGCAAAGAACGTGGCAGAAGGAAGCAGGAAAAGCTTATGAAGCAAGAATCGAAATTGAAGCGAATGAAGACTTCAGATACAGCTTCCTTGTCTGTGGAGAGAATGAGGGAAGTTCAAGCTCGTATGAAGACACCCTATTTTGTTCTCAGCGGTCATGTTAAACCAGGGTATAGGGAGTAGCCGTAGAAGTAGTACTGCTGTAGTGTTTACTGTTTGAGATTTGAAACTATGATTTAAAAATTGGACGGTCATTTACAATGTGGAGCTTCTGGTTCATGGTTTAATGGCTCAAGCGATGTTATGTAAATGTACATTGAGTAGTAATTTCATATAAATGTAAAAAATTCAGTTAACTTTTTAATATTTTTGGATAAAAATAAATTAAATTTTAGATCCACATAAGTTAATTGCATGATGAGTCCTGAAATATTGAAACCAATTGCAAACAGATTGCTAATAAAAATCCACATATATATAGAAGTTTGTAACTACGGTGTTTTGTTGGTTTTACTGGCTCTGGACCTGTTTGACTTGTTCATTATCACCTGTTCTGCAACCATTTTTTTTGGTTTAACATACTGAACACACCATTTTCTGGCTCAGCAGGTCAAATGGTTTGTCTGATTTTCAAAACTTTGATTTTAATGTACGATCTACTATATTTTGTCAATGCATTTGAAACCAACATTATAGCTCAAAGCACTAAACTTCTACAATTGCCCATTGCCTAGTGACATTTTTGTTATGTGATTCGTCTTTGGAGGTTAAGAATCTGCTCCATTGTTGTTAATATGATTGGTAATATATACTTGTATGCTGAATATCATACAGATCACCTGGCGGGGGTGAAAGTTCTTCACGGCCTTGACAAAGTAGCATAAGGTAGTAGTGTAGTTCTGACAATCAGAGATCAGCTCATACTTGCTGAAGGTGATCTTAATGAAGATACAACTTCTCGGTGTTCTTATATTGTTCTTGTTTGAATTCTATGAATTGTTGTGCATCATTGTGTAAAATAATTTGTTTTCTCACACTCCAGACGTTATATGCTTGAGAATGTGGAAATTGGGGAACAAAAACGCCGAGATGATGCTTATAAAGCTGCAAAAAAGAAAACTGGCTTATACGACGATAAGTAAGATGATCATTACTATCGTCCGTTATGATTGAAACGATGTATATAGAATCAAATCTTTAATCTGATCAAGCATGGCTATCAATTTCAGGTTCAATGATGATCCCTCTGCAGAAAAGAAAATACTCCCAAAATATGATCCAGTTGCCGAAGAGGTTTGATGCTCATTGTTTCTTACATTCCAAAGCATAAATTGTTGAGCAAGGTAGTTATTGTGAATGCTTATACTCATCTGAGTTTTTTATTCAGGGTTTAACTTTGGATGAAAGAGGGAGCTTCTCAGGCGAAGCTGAAAAGAAACTTGAAGAGGTAAGTTTTAGTTAGCTTTAGTTAGCTAAGTCTAGGCTTTGTATCTAGTTCTAACTGACACCTGTCAGATGTATCACATGCTACAGCAGGTTAAACTAGTTGTTATAAATACAACCAGTTAGCAACTGTTGTAACTAACTTTCCAATTCAATAGAATTAGTTACAACGAAAAATGGAAAGAGCAACTGCATTTTCTATTACTACATATCTCTGGTTGTTTTCATACTACTTCTTTCCTCTTGTAATTGTTCCTTAGAAATTTATTGAATTAGCTACATGTATATATACAGTATGTGTTTTACTCTTTTATTGTTTGCTAAGGGGTATCTTTTCCTATTAACAGCTCCGAAGAAGGTTCACTGGTGTATCCACTAATAACTTTGAAGACCTTACTTCATCTGGAAAGGTATCATCAGACTACTATTCTCATGAAGAAATGCTTCAATTTAAGAAGCCCAAGAAGAAAAAGTCCTTACAGAAGAAAGATAAGCTGGACATTAATGCACTTGAAGCTGAAGCTATCTCTTCAGGATTGGGTGTTGGCGACCTTGGTTCTCGGAAAGATGCAAAGAGGCAAGCCATCAAAGATGAACAAGAAAGATTGGCAGCTGAAATGAGAAATAATGCTTACCAGTCTGCTTATGCTAAAGCAGATGAAGCTTCCAAGTTACTTCGTCCAGAACAATCTCTGTACAATAAAACAGGGGAAGATGAAACCCCAACTTTTGCAGATGATGACGAGGATCTTCGTAAATCCTTAGAGAAAGCAAGGCGACTAGCTCTTAAGAAACAGGAGGAGAAAGGAGCATCTGGCCCTCAAGCTATTGCTTTACTTGCCGCCTCAAATCCTAGTAATGAGACTGTTGATGATCCAAATTCTACCGCTGGAGAGTCAAGAGAAAATAAGGTGGTCTTTACAGAGATGGAAGAATTTGTCTGGGGTCTTCACATTGATGAAGGTAAGTTTTTATGTGATTATGTTTTTTTTTTTTTTTTCCTTTTAATTTTAAGTTCATACCATCTTGATGTTATGAAGTGTGATTGTTCTGATTAAATGTAAAAGAGAATAATATTTTTTTTTTTAATTTTTTAACAACACTTCTATGTAAGCTAGCAGGTAAAATGTATTTTATAACAAGTTAGGATTGGCGTATACTATGTAGTTGTTTCTTTGTTGAAATCGGTTGTTTCTTTTCGCAATAATCTGTTTAATCTGTACTTAGTATTTCAATGGCACAACATATTTGAAGGTTGTGTAATCTTTCTGTGCTGTTTTAGTTGGATATCGTAGATGTTTCTGACATAGAAACATTGTTTTGTCAGCTTGTTAGAACTGTTGGTGTAAAGAGTATATAAAGGGGAAGTTGATAAATAGGTATAACTTGTGTTGCTTTTCTATTTTTCAGAAGCACGTAAGCCAGAAGGTGAAGATGTTTTCATGCATGATGTCGAGGCAAATGTTCCTGTCGAGGAAAATAAAGATGAGGCTGGCGGGTGGACTGAGGTTAAAGAAACTGAAACACAGATGAGCAACCCAACTCAGAAGACAAGGAAGTGATAGTTCCTGATGAAAGTATACATGAAGTTGCTGTAGGGAAAGGACTGTCAGGTGCACTGAAACTGCTTAAAGATCGAGGAACACTTAAAGAAAGCATTGGCAGAAACATGGATAAGAAGAAAAGCAAATTGGTTGGGATTGTAGAGGATGAAGGAAAGGAAGTACAGAATAAAAAAGAGATTCACATTGTGAGGACAGATGAGTTTGGGAGAATTGTAAGTCCTCCATATTCATTTTCATCATTTTTTGGGGTCATATTTAGCTTTTACTGCAGCACTAGGTTCATATTATATTATTTTTGATTGCTGCATTTGCATTTTTGCATTATGGTAGTTAACGAGGATGTTTACTATAGGACTTAATAAAGCTTACAGGCTTATGGGGCATCTAAACTCAACTGAATGGGGGGTTGGGGTTAATTACCTTTGAGTCAGTCTGTTTTTTTTTGTGTTGAAAATTTACTTAGCAGGCATGCATAGGAACAAGAGAGGAAGGGAGAAAGTAAGAGGGTCTGAGACTAAGCAAAACTCACGAAAAAGGAAACAGTGTTAGTAGTCTATGGAGAGAAGAAATTATAGGTTATTTGATCACTTCCTCTTTGCCGCAGCGCAACAGATCAAGTTGTTGTGTGACTCGGTGGTCGTGGTCCACTTTCCTCATTAGTATTGTTTTTATGCGAAGTAACTTGAGAGTGAAGATGTTCATTATTTTTGTATAAGCTTTATAGATCATATCTTGTTTACTTCTAATAGCATAAAAGGTGATATCTGTTGTGGTTTGGAATGTAGAAGTATTGTACCTTTAGTCTAAAGATTTGCTTTGCATACTTTTGTATATAATGTGTTCATGCAATTGGGTGCTTAATGATTATATATTTCATTAATGTCTGCTGTGGTTAGGATATAGGAGTACTACACCTTTAGTCTAAAGATTTTGTTTGCATGCTTTTGTATATAACGTGTTCATGGATTTGGGTGCTTAATAATCATAATATTTCATTGTACAATGTATCTTGAAATTGGTACTCCCCCTCAAATGTATTTTTAATCAATGTTGAGATATCTTTCATTTCCACCTTGCAGTTTTCACATTAGAGTTGAATGTTACTTATCCTTGATTACCTTGTTCTTTTGTTGCTTCCAGTTGACTCCTAAGGAAGCCTTTCGAATAATTTCTCATAAGTTCCATGGCAAAAAAGCGTATGAAGCAATTTCAAGAAGAGTTGAAATTGAAGCAAATGAAGAGTTCAGATACATCATCATTGTCTGTGGAGAGAATGAGGGAAGCTCAAGCTCGTATGAAGACACCTTATCTTGTTCTCAGCGGCCATGTTAAACCAGGGTATGTTTTTAACATCACAAACTTTTTACTCTTGAAGTTTTGATAGAAATAAAATAAATGAATGCTTACATTTGATGTGAATGGGATACTAAGATTAACTATTGATTTTGTGATTTTCTGATAAAAGTTGGTGCTGCTATAATGGGGTACATTCTTTTTACATCAAGGTCTATTTCCTATACTCCATGTCAACATTTTTGACTATTGGGTCTTCTTTATTTTCCATACGTATTACGTTTGAGTTATGACACTATATAATGATCCATATCTTGATCTATTGTCTGCAGTAAGAAGCAACTATACACTTGATATAACTTGATGATTTAATTGTGCCGAGTAATTCCTTGTTTCTTTAATAAGGCTCATTAAATCAGTACGCTTATCCAAACATTAATGCTTAAAAGCGGTATGTTGTGTTCAAATCTGAAGACTACAGCAAGGAGAACAGCCACCACCACCAGGCCTTTTTCCGCTAGGTCGGGTCAACTGCATGCACCATACAACGTCATAATGCTTTATCATATATTGTGTTTAAAGATAGATCATTTACCTTTCAACTTTGAATTTCTGTCATAGTTTCTTTTCTATGTCTCTTTTTACCTCCTCATGGGTGCTTCTATGAATCTTCTATACTCATAGACAAATTAACTACAATAGGATGGGACAATGCTTTTCTCCGATAGGAGCCCACTAAACGTTCTTTCTTGTCTCATGTAGTCCCTTATCCATTTCAACAATGAGCATACTTTTATGATGGCTTTTAACTGGCCCATATTCTTTCCAACTGAGTTTGGTGATTAATATTTGTTGATTAGGATCAAACACCATACTCTAAACTACATTCATCATTCCTGTCTAAAGCAAAGGTGCTGTCCAAGATTTATGTAATTCCTACCGAGCATGAACTGTCTAAACTCTAAACTACCAAATATACATCCTTCCTGCCCATTTACATCTACTCTCATCATACATTAGGAATGCCCTAATCGTGACACAATTGTCTTGTGCATAACTAAAAATACATAACCACCCACGTAGCTGAATATATTCCTACCCTTATTGCTATCTAACTGAACAATAACATGACTTTTCTGCTTAACTGTCACCTTTAAGTTGTGCAGTATATTTTTCCTTTGAACATTAAACATGTATGATACCTTCTCTCTCACAAACGACCTAAAAGCATTTGTTCATTTCCATCCACACTACTTGAATCCTATAGTTTCCATCTGCTGTTATATACCCCACCCTTCATTTTGAAAAGCATGGTGAAATATGCCTTTAATTTTTGTGTTAGTGGATGAATATTATGTTGACAAGATTTAAAACTTTTGTATTCCATATTATTGAATATACTGTATTTTGCACTTTTATGGAAGTTTAAAAATAATAATATAAATAAACCTATTAAGCTTGTCCTTTCTCATTCCTTGTTTTTAGTTTATATATTCTAATGTATGTGTTCTTTTATTGGCAGACAAACTAGTGACCCAAAAAGTGGTTTTGCTACAGTTGAGAAGGATCTTCCTGGAGGCTTAACACCTAGGCTCGGTGATCGGAAGGTAATTTGTATAGGCTTTGAAAAAAAGGGTGCTTTACATGTCAATTTTTTCAAAAGTTACTACTTCAACTATAGAGAAAAGTACTAAAACTATTTTTTTGGCGGGTTTAAGCTTTTATTTGAGAAACTTAATTAACATAAATTATCATAAAACTAAAACATAAATAAAAAAAATCTAGCACAAGCAAACAGACCCTGGATAAGTTTATAGGCCACCAATATGACAGCTTTGCATTATCTGATTTAGGATTTTTATAGGCTAAATTGAGAGCTTTATTAGATTTCACAAACCCGAGAACTAGACTCTATATTATGGCTGCATCTGTTTTCACTTTCGAGTATTTTCTATTTTAAATACACGGTTTAGAACGTATTGATATCTCAAGATATTAAGTAGGTTAAATGCCCTTCTCTTTTTAGAAAAAATAATTAACATGACCATTTTTATTCTAGTGTTCGTCATATTACTCAATATTGACATTACTTTACGTTGATTTTCGTTTCATTTTAACACATTGCAAAGAAGAATTTTTCATAGAGATGTTGATTAAAATATTTACCTCACTTTTATGCTATTTAATACATGCATACTTTGCTTTTGAGTTATTATTATTATTATTATTATTATTATTATTATTATTATTATATATATATATATATATATATATATATATATATATATATATATATATATATATATATATATATATATATATATATATATTTACATATCCCCGTTAAGAACATGTTTTATTACAGGTTGAACACTTTCTTAGAATCAAGAGGAAACTGAACAATCAAGTTCAAATACCCCAAAAAAGACAAAATCTTGATTCCTTGGCCTTGTAACGAAAAGCATTTCAAGCTAAAATCCTTACAAGGCTACAAATTGATTTGAAATTTTAATAACTTGAGAAATCCATAGAACTCATTATTTTGTATTTTGTACATCTCTTAAATGAGGGTGAAAAATCCATAAAACTGAGATGAAAGAGTAAACAAAAAGGGTTGTATGAGAATTTTGAAAATATGTAGGAATGGAAGAATCAAATATATAAAACTCTTTAGTTGTTTTTATGGTTTGGAGGATTATTGACCTCCCCTTACTAAAATTCAACATTTTAACTAAAGAGGATATTTTAATGCATCCTATATGTTTTTTAAGCACTATATGAAAACTAAAAAATATCCTTAATTTTCATAGATGCATTTTAACACCACAATAAACATATAGTTTGTTTTTGAGTCACATCTCAATTTTATAAATAAATTTATTTTGAAAATATATTTTTAGTAAATTTATAAGTGTTCACTAGATGAGAAAGCTCTTTACCATTTACCATCCATAGTTATAAGAATCAATGCACTTTCAGAGAAGGGTCTCTTGACAACACATGTGCCTTTTTGTAATTGAAAGTCCACTTGCCATGTGAATTATTATGGATATACAAGATCTTTTTGAGCACGAGACTGCATTCTCTAAACTCACGAGGACGAACCTTCTTATCAAATGTTTTTTTCATCTTCTTTTGATACAATTGACTATGATAAAATGTTGTCATTCTCTTCTCTTCAATTAAATTCAATTGGTTATATTTGTTCCGACACAATTCAACTTCTGTTAATTTAACTTCCGTTAAGACTCACATTAATGGGATCCTGGCTTCTGTAAGGAGCACTGCCATATACTAACTGTATAGACTAAGGAGAAAAGAATTGCCCCTTTTAAGTCACATCTCAACATATGATTAAGAACACACACTTTGGATTTGGATTCTTTACTATCAAAGTAACTTGCATAGTCAATTTGGGCTAGATTAGCTATTAAAAAAGTTATAGTTTTTTATTTATGTACTCTTAATCATTGAATTTTATTTGAATGATAAAGATTTACTTGAATGTGTGAATATGTGAATGAATGCAGGGAATTCTATTCCACACCCTTTTTGAATGTGTGAATTGTGAATGACTAAATGTAGAGAATTCTAGTCCACACCCTTTATCGTTCTTAATGTCTCCACTTTTAGATTCTTCATTCTGATTCTGGGACAATTTTTTTTGTAAATGCTTTTTTTATCGGGAGTAGAATTGAGAAATAAGGAATAAGGAGTGAGTCACCCTAAGAAATAAGGAACCCTAGTAATATGCCATTTGGTGAGTGAGACACCCTAAGAAATAAGGAACCCTAGCAACGAATGAGAATTTTAGATTAATACGTTAATCCAATAATTTTATAAACCTCAAATAGGTAAGTCCTAGAAGTAGGATTAAGAGTGAGAGTTATTCCTAATCAACGCTGGGTGTGACAAGTTCTCAGATGTCGTATGGTTAAGGAGTTCCATATGCCTTTTGAGAGTGATGAGCCTTCAAAAGAGAATGAAGCGAATCGATTAATACTTATTCATTGGGGGAAATGTATAGAGGTTTGTTTACTTAATTGTATTGCAAGTATGAAGCTTGAAGCTTCCTTTGTTAGATTGTGCATTTATGCGAGATTGTAGTGACTTTGTATGCGATGATGATAACTTAACCGGTAGAGCCGAGTGGTCCCATAAGATAAAGAAACTCACTAATATTTAGTAATCTCACCCTAATCATGTTGTTGTTTCTTAAGTATATTGTAGACACCAAAAGGCTTATGAAGTAGAAGCTTTGGTGTCTAGATGACATGAAGATCATACATGAGTTCTGTTCCGCTATACATTTTTTATAGTTTTATTGTTAACATTTCAATTGTGTACATAACTCAAATGTAAGGATGTAATGTATACGTTTTTGAAATATCATTTATTAGCTTTTGTATATACTCAGTACCAATTATTTAATATTCTACTAATAAGATTATAAACGCATATTGGTGGGGTATTTCATAAAAATCACATGAAGACGTCTGTCATTAGGTATGCTCTAGATTTATGCTTCATACTGTAACTTATCATATTTAAACAAAACTCTTTTATTATGAATTATTTTATTCACCCTGCCTATTTGAATGTTACCTCCACGTGGGTAACGTGCAGATGACCAAGCTTAACCGTGGACGCCGTTGAGGATTATTTTTGAAGTTTTGAGTTGTTAGCCTTTTGGTTAACTTAGAGGGTCTTGTTCTGATATGTAACATCGGGTTGGGTTCTTTTGAGTTAAACTATATACTGTTGAGTTATTTTGCTTATCTTCCCTGATGAGAAAAACCTTGATTTATGCTTTTGAGTTCCGCTGTTTTATGTTGTTTGATGTATTTTGAGAAAACCTGTTGTTTACAGAGTCTTGACCTATTTTGATGACATTGAGAAATGTACGCCCTTTTGGTGGTTTTTATGAAATTTAATAATTTACTCTGATATCTGTGTTATTTTTGCCATATCAATTGTGGGGTAGAAAAGGGTGTTACATGAGCAGACTTCCACCGCATGCTAAATCTCTGTCGACAATA